CTCGTTTCAGAGAGTTCGGTGAATTCGTTGCTTGGCAACGGTTGTTTACCGAATCTCTCCCTCTCAAAGCGATGACCACTCAATCTGTTCCAAACATCTTCCAATTGCCTTGATACCGCCTTTCTTGTTCAGGGGTTTCCTGTGTATCAATGCGTAAACCTGGTGTTTTGCATGGAGATAACCTGTGTTCTTCTGCATTACGACTACAAGTACTCAGATCTATGAACACCTGTACATCGAGACCCATGCGAAGGTAACGAGTATATTACGAACAGAACAAGTTCAGCACTAAGCTTTGATCCGTCCGTTGACCGTAGATGAATGGATTATAGCAGCTGGCTTCATCCGGTTCTACACCTACCGAACATGTCCTCTGTTATACGTCCGTTCTCAATGTTACCAAGATTTCATAAGCTACATTCTAGAAATGAGAAAACCCAACTCACCGACAAGAATCCCATCTCCCGCTCGGTTGATTCCGGCTGTATGTACGTCAGTATCCTTGAAGTCCTTTCTCCAGATTGGCGGAATCGGTAGCGTAGATCCAAACCGGTTTGTGAACTCTTCTCTGAACTGTCGCGAGCCTGACGAGTTGCTTCCTGTCGACCTGCGGTCAGACGGAATGCGTCTTCATCAGAGACGAATTGAGTGCACTTGTTCTCGTGCGCTGTACCGAGTGTGTGTTTTTGTATGATTCTGATGAAGTCTAGACGACTGGACGCGGTAGTTTGTGTAGAAACGTCTACTTTTGAATGCCGACGGGTTGTTGGTGTCACTGGAATTCGCGATTTTCGTCGGGTTTGCTCCTCAAGATGCAAATCAGATGTGTGTTCGTAGGTCACTTCTAGGGGCTTCTCACTCGTTGAACAGGATGGAAGCTCGTGAGTACCAACACCCAGGCCTAATGAATTGCCTGGGGGTTTTGCGTTAGAGCCAGCCTCTGACTGATCAGTCGAGTGGGGGAAAGCTGTTCGTGTAAATTCAAGCGACTGGTAGGTCGCTGGTGAGACACGTGCTGATGTCGCTGATGCGCCCTGGTTACGGGTAGCGCCCCTGATAGTCTTGCGCTTGTCTGATTGCTGTGTTCGTTTTACTGCGCGTCCTAAACCCTTCACATCTGTGGGCACTCTGGTGTTGTCGAAACCATTCAGCTGAACGTTTTCCACTCGGGATCTTGACGACGTCGCATTCCAGACCGTGTTAAACTGGTCAACTTCTTCAAAAGAAGTCGTTGAATACCATTCGGTTGAGGTACTAGTGGTTTCATATTCCTTCGGATGAACAATCGATTTTGGCTTGTCATTTACTGCGCTCAGTCGCCGTACCATCGAATCTCCCAAGTAATCGATGGTCTCATGCAAAGCGCTTTCCGACGACGATCTTGTCCTGTCGCCAGGAAAACCTGTCACAGTGTCTCTTGGCATCTCAGCTAACACTGAAGTTATAGGCAGATGGATAGAAGACGCGGCTGGCGGATGCTCGCTTCCTATCTCATCACGTTTGAACCGTCGCTTGCAAGTAAATAAGTCCGATCGTTCGGCAGGAAGCGAATTCGTCGTGATGGTCGAGCAAGGGATCGTATGAGGAGCTGAACCGTCGAAGTTGTACCTAGTCCTTTGGTACTCAGTGTCAAATGCGGGCGATTCTCTACCAACCACAGCGTCGATAAGGGACTGCTCAAGACAAGTCGTATGTAGTGATTCACCTGGAGCCGTGTCGGCCTGCCCTAGCAGTCCGGTTGACAACTCTTCAACAGGGAGATAAGTCAGTGGTGATGCGGTGCTCGAAATCGAGAAGGGCTCAAAGATCGAAGTTTCTGACTTGTGCGGCACATGAAACAATCTATCGGAACCATTATCTTGCGTCTGTGGGACCACGCTCTGGCGTTCTTCGACTTCATTTAAGGCGTAGAGAGGTGAGGTCTGCGGTTTTTCATTCAAATCGGAAACACCCATTTTGGTTGGCCCAATGTTTCGTGCACAGGGTATAGACACTCGAGTTTCAACCACATGAGACTCTGCATCTGAGGCCACATTACAAGCGACAGAACCACGCCGATCAGTAGGTGGCGTCGAGGGCATCCACACTTCCTCTCTGTCTAACAAGATTTGACCGGTTTCGGATTGTGTCGAAGGTCTCTCGCTCCCAATCGGTTTCATCTGTCTCGGAGATAAAGGCTGGATTGTCGAATTCAGGGAAGTTTTAGGTTTGGTCGCCTCCGAAAATGGCGTAGAAGTCTTTTCCCAGTCGTCCATGGGTAGCTGAGGAGCAAATCCGTTGTGGTCAGCACCTTTGGTTGAATGAGAGTCTTCCATCAAAGGATAGGCTGAATTCTCCATCACTGGATCCATCCGTGGGCAAATGTTGAATGAATTTTGGGGAGGTAACCTAAAGTCACTTTCTTTCGGGTGTGGATGACTCTTGAAACTTCCCGTTTCCACGTATGGTATGCTTAAAGGTGCACCAGCTGCATCTCTGGATAGGGTGTCTCCAACACTGCCAGCCGTCAGATCTGGCGATTTGTGGTAATCTACTTGTTCAAGTGACGTCAGCACCGTCGGAGATGTATTCGATGAAACATCGCCAAACTCTGCTACGATGCTGCCTGCATCCTTCTGAATGGGGACTCTAGATTGGGGAAATGCAATCGCTTCCGTTGGATAAGATTCGGACTTTCCGTCTGTAGTCCCGTACTTCACAGAAGGCTCACCTGACTTTCCGACGCTTGCCCAGTATTCTGCGTCACTAACAGAGGATGACCAAACGGTATCTGAAACGTCTGGAGTGTTTTCTTTGCCGTGAGGTTTTGAACCCTCTGACAACCGCTCATTCTCAATCAGATAATAAGGTAGCCCTACTTGGGGTTCCTTGGCCCTCCAATAGGAAACATTCGGGCGTTGATGATCGACTTCCGGAGATTCGATACTCGTTTGATAACTCCCGGGCCATGCGGTGGTGGGTTGCAAGCTGAGTTCGATCCCTTGCGTAGTCGGTTTTGGAACAGTAGCAACGAAATCAGCCGGGCCAAGTGGAGCACGGCAGGAACCATCTGGTCTATTGATTTCATTAGTTCCATACATTTGGTTGAAGTACGGGACATGCGCCGAAGACAGTGTGGGCAGGTAAGAATCATCTACTCCTGAAATAGCATTTTGAAGAGTACTGGGGGGCGTGACAAGTTCAGAAACGAATGGTAGCCTCAATGCGATGGATGCATTTTGTGACTGGGTTGTAGGAGGACCGCCGGCTGTAGAACTGGTCGTGCCTGAAGTGGCGGGCGCCTCAGCATCACCAGCTAAAAACACAGACTGAGTACCAATAAACACATGTCGTCCTGGTATCTTCCGTTTTGCCTTCCGGATTCTACGTGGAAGGTTTTGTTGCGTCGCGGGATTCGTAGGCAGAACTGGCACGTTCTTGAGGAACCGACCACTCTCAAGAAGCGGGGCGGAACACACATTGTCCAACTCGATGAAGCCATTACTGTCGTTGGGAAATGCGTCCGCATTTGAGGGTACAAGCGACGGAATACCGGGATGATGCTCGGAAAAGGAGACCACACTTCACAAGGATCTGTTACACCATTCAGGAGATCAGTATTCCTAATGACATTATGCTCGACACCATAAACATTACCGAGAACAGGCATAATCGACAAACGAGGACCAAACACATAAGGAGGAGAAATCTGAGGCCGAGAGGAACACAAAGAAGGAAGGTCGCGACCACCACCTAAATTCCACGAGCTAACGAAAGGACCATCAGCAAAAATCAAGTTATCTTGTTCTGGTCCCGCTGCGTC